GAACACGAAACAGGTGCACCGCTGAAGAGGCACACCCTCCACTCCAACTCGTGCTGAAAACAAAAAACACAGACAGAGCAATACCATGACAAATCTTCAAAGAGAGGAGGCCCAATAGCTTGCCAGTCAGATCACTCTCAGGGTAGGAGAAGAAGTTAATTGTATTCCGAGTTCTGAAAAAGACACAAAGGGGTGACTCTGCCTCCCTAAAGGCTTTTGGGGGAGCTAAAAAGATTAAGGTGTTTTGTGGGTAAGCATGTATTTGTAATGACTTATATTCATGCTGTATGTGGGCCTCCCCTCTAAGTAGGGCATGGATGAGAGAGTAGGCTCGGGCCATTTTTGGGTACGACTTCTGACATCAGCTGTATTTGACAACAAAAATCAACTAACTAACATCTTGAAGAAGTTTTTCCATCACCAAACCAGCCTTGCTGAACATTCACTCCAGAGGGACGCTGGGACGGAACCACTCTTCAAAGCAAATACACGACACCACCTTTTTTTTTTTCAATCATGACTTCTGGAAGTATCAAAAATAATCTCACAATTTCCTACCCACAAGTGCTTTGAAATCATGAAAAATTAAAAACAAAGATGTGCTTCATATATTTTTACAGTGCAGACTTCAGATAATTTATATTTAATGTTGATGATTCTATTTGACACACACAGGATTTTTTTAAATACTCAATTAAAAGGTCAGATGTAGTATATATAGTATATTATGTTGTAAATGTGACTTTGGAAGTCCATTTCTCAGAATGATGCTTGTTTCCATGACAACCTTTATGTGCTAAGGTTATGTGCCATCTGCTGATAGGAAATGTAGGTTTGTAATTTGTAAAGCCTTAGTTTGACGCTCCAATCGCACCTCCTAGTTGGCCACTGCTTTGGCAGCGAAAAGAAACTCCACACTCTCCTCTTGATTTTACTGACACTTAATTGGACGGTACAAAAATTCATCCAAAAATGACAAAAACAAGAATGAGGCGAAGATCGATAGTCTTAAGTAGGGTGAGTGAGTGAGAGAGAGAGAGAGAGAGAGAGAGATTAAAAAACTAAAACTGTGTGGCTCGACTCCATGTTGCCTGACCGCATTACTGCCGTGTACCACACGTCCTTAATATAATAATATAAAATCAAACAGGTGTATAAGTAAAAAATGTAAATAGTCTAGCTTGTATGAAAACAAACATAAATCATCTTTTTTCCAAATACAAATGAACTTAAATTGAATTTCGTCTCCTACAGGAAATACCAATGAGTGTGCTTAGTGCGCAGACCCAAACAATGCAATGAGATTTCATACTAGGGTCAAGTTATTAACACTGTCAGAGAGTAGTTTCTTTCTTCGAGTTTAATTAGCGGCTAGGTCATGTCAAACAATCATCGAACAGTACTCTAAATATAAAAAAAACGCTCGATAAGCTTTTGAGGAAATCAGTGGAAGGAACATTCATATATAGATCCATCTTTTATCATGGAAACCCGTGCAATAATTATGTGAGTTTGTCTCTGCTAAAGACGCAGATGAATGCTATTATGTCATCGTGATTAGATTAAACTTGACTGCACTTAGTAAATTGGTAATGAATCAGTAGTATTATTGTAAAGAACTGTGTGATGGTTTGAGATGGAATTGCAGTATCTGACAGATCGCTTGTAAAGCTTGAGCCAATTCGGCGGCAGAGAAATGCACTTCTTTAATTCCTCTCAGTTGAGCACATCCTCGGGTGCAGTCTCAAATCCCCACACAGTGTGCTTTTAATTGGCGATGAGTCATTGGGTAGCACAATAACAACCATTATATGTAACTGGAGGAATCGCACTCAATAGAAAATAAAATACAATGTCCTTTTGTTTAAATGAATGCCGTTATAGTGGATGGAAAATTGATGTGAACCCTTTGGAATTTCTTCAATTTCTCCATACACTGGTCATCAAATGTGGTATGATCTTCATCAAAATCACACGAATAGACACACAGAGACTGCTTAACATTCATACCACACCCACTATTATATGTTTTCCTATTTTTATTGAAAATAACTTGAACACAAGGAGAAAAAAAATAAGTGAATCCTTGGATTTAAGTTGAGCTTCCTTTGGTAGCAATCAATAACCTCAACCAAACATTTCCTCTAGTTGCAGAATGATCAGGATGAATTTTAGACTTTTTTTCAAAACCCTCCCATTCCAATTCCTGGGACATCTGGTGTGAATATCTCTCTTGAAATCATCAGTCGTCTGTGCATTTTCATTTTGGTGCCAGCTAGTCTAGCGTGTTTGGGACTGCAAAGCACCTCAATGGGCATTTCGGCGCACCTCGACACACCTGTTAATTTGGTAGCTGAATGCGCTTGGCGTTAAAAGGAATGGGCACATCTTCATTTTGGTGCCGGGGCAAGTCTAGTTTAGCGTGTTTGTGAATTTGGGAGACGCTCTGTGTCTCCTGGGTGTTCTGGGTGACGCAACTGCCAAGTTCCCCAGTTTATCTCGCAATTTGCTGACCATAAAGTAGAGTTAATTTAAACTACTTAAAAGCAAGTGTAACATGTGTGGCGTGAGTGGTGTAATGTGATTTGGCACTTGGCTGAGATGTTTGGTTGGCATCGTATTTTATTCAGAAATATGACAGCAGCGTGGGACAATGCCTCTGAATCATTGTAAAAATCAATTCATTAAGTGAATTCTCCTCATTATTATCTTAACAGCACCCAGTTGGCCATGCAGCACAACAGCTAGGGAGGGTTGGGGATCACACATGTCCGAAGGTACAAGTCTCCAATTGCCTACGTCACATAGACAGCCGACTAAATCATCCGCAAGGGGATCGATCTCTCCACAGTCAGTTACCCACGAACGCAGCAACCCCGCCGTCTGTTCTCAGACCAACGGGTTATAGGAAGAGCTTCTTTGCAGTGGCCCTCACTCGGGTGAACACTATACAATAGTGAGAGCCCCCCTGGTTGCCCCTCTGCATGAATTGAGTGAATTTAGACCCATTTTTATACCTTGTCTGTCGTATTCATTGTACTTATCATATGATGTCTCTTATGCCATATTTGCACTACGTGCGGCTAAAATAGCAGTATTGCTGCTCTCGGTCATAGTCTGCTGACAGTTAATTAAGAAGATCTTATTGTTACTGTATATTTGTCGTTCGAACTATCGATGTTGATTGCATGTCTTAGAATGCCCCAATTTCTTTTTATAGCTGCCGAAAAAAATTATCAACATTAAACCCAAATACAGCAGTATTGACCTTTCTAAAAATTGTACACTCTCTGAATGAGAGGAAAAGCTTTAATCATCAGGTGGTATCAACCAACAAGAACCACGAGTTGCGATTGCTTCTGGGCAACAGAACCTGTCATCACATGAAGGTCTTTCATCTTATTAAAATCTACTGCGGTGAACTTGTTTTTTTCCGCCCTTTTATGGATCACCTTGGCCAATCTCTTGAAAACAGAAATGTGTAGAGTGACCTTGTCAAAATAATCTGTAAGTCTCCTCTGAGCTTCGATTGCAACAATCTAGAGCTCACCCTACAAATCCTTGAAACCCTTTTGGCCTGCAAGCACTTCCAACTTTGTAGCTGATGGCAATTTACCATATCCTATTGTTTCACTGTGTTATGATCTAAGGGCCTTTCTGTTTGTCGATGCAGGGAAAATGTTTTTTCATGGAAACTCTTGATGCAGAAAAGTGATAATTAACTGTGGTGGCAGAGTGTTGAAAAATGTCAACTGTTGTGGTAGTGAAAAAAGGTAAGAATTATCTACCACTGTCCCCTGTCAGGCTCAATTTCAACCAAACATCCCCAAGATGGTGGCAATAGATTGTTTGGATGAGAGAAGAAAATGTGGAGTTTGAAAAAACACAAACACCAGAACTAAGCAGCCACAAATGACTGAACAATAAACCAGAAAAACAAAACTACAGCGATATCAAAGACAATTAAATATGGTTGAAATACTCTACATTAGAGGTGTTAATCACGAAATGAGCAAAGTAATTGCTTGCGGAGTTCATGCATATGTAATTTGCTGACTGCGTGTTCTGTGAACATAAACATGGCGATGTGGAAATCGACCGTCAGTGCTAATAAGGAACAAGTGCAATGTGGAGATTACCGGACATTTTATCCGCCAAAAATACAAGATGTGCGTAAACAAAAAAGGAAGCAAATATGATGTGAGGTACATGTGATATGTGAAATTAGAGTAAAATTTTGAATTATAAAGGCCAATCACAAATGCATGTTTATATGTCTACATGCATTTCTACAGACTGTTTTGAAGGGTTCAAAGGAATAACAACTGACAAAATAGCTGTGATAGGGTCCAGCATGCCCCGCAACCCTTGTGAGGATAAGCGGATCAGAAAATGGATGGATGGATGGAATGACAGTAACAGTGTTGTAGGGAACAGGACAGGCTTTCTCTCAGGATTGGGAGCTGGCTTTTTAGCTAACTGTTACTGCTGACCAAGAGGACAAACTTACTTTTGTAAATAAGTACAGAAAACATTTGTTTTTAAAGGCTCATTATGAGTGTATGCATAACAGGGATGCACGAAGTGCAGTGAGACATTCAATCAAGGTTAACTATTTCATAAAAAGTGGGAAATAGAATAGAGGACATGCCTTTGCTCTATTCATTCTTTTGCTAAACTGTTTGATGAGGTTAAGTCCATCGTATCAGGTTACTGTATTCACTTTTCCTCTTCTTCTGCCATGCTAAAAGGGTGATGGTAAACGGTTAAATAATAATTATAATTTTAAATATTATGTTTATTTTAAAAAGCCCACAGTTACTAGAGACAGCAACGAATCAAATAATATAAATAAAGTTATATTTCATTTCAATCTCTCTCTCTCTCTCTCTCTCTCTCTCTCTCTCTCTCTCTCTCTCTCTCTCTCGCTCTCTCTCTCTCTCTCTGTAGTTCTGTAGTAAACACAATGGAATGTTCACTCATGGAGACCCTCCCCCTTGATCTTGAGTGGGGAAGATGTGTTTTGTTTCCAAAAGCAGTTGTTGCGCAACAGGGGTTGTGCAACAGTGTTTATTGCTACTGACCGAAAAAGAAGAGGAGAAAAGTCAACCAAGCGGTGAAAGAACACAGAGAAGACACGATGTCGAATTCTGCGCGCTCTCAGGGGACCACTCAGAAGTGTCCAGATGAGTCCCGTGAAAAGAGAACATCAGACTGGGAGCTGTTTGAGACCAACCTAGGGGCGTCAGACCAGCACCGATCAGCAATGGAGGCAACCCAAATTCATCTCCAGCCTTACTTGCTTCAACCCCGCATGTTTGGGCGCATGTTGGTGTACAACAGCAGAGTCCGCCCTGTCCTCACTCACGCCTCTTTCCAAGGACGCGTGTATAACTTTTTGGAAAGGCCGTCCGGCTGGAAGTGCTTCGTTTATCACTTCACTGTGTGAGTGTGACCGTAATTTATCATCTAAAGAACAACAAATACAGCCACTGTAGGAAATATATTTATAGATGGATTTCTTGCATAGCTGTGCGCAGTTAAAGAAAGAGAGAGAGGGAGAGAGAGAGAGAGAGCAAGAGAGAGAGACAGAGAGAGATACATAGATACTCACATCCATCCATACACAGTAATTTTCGTACATTTTACTCTCATTGAGAAAAATTATACTTTGAAAAGGAATGTATTTGGTTCCACTGTTAACAGAGTAAAACTTACACTTGAAAAAGAGTCAGATATTCTGAGTACATTTGACTCAAGTAGCAGATTAATCGTATGTCAAATAATTAAAATCATCTTTTATTTGATGAGAACATAAGTTACACAGTCAGCACGGTGATCGACTGGTTAGCACGTCTGCCTCACAGTGCAGAGGTGCAGGGTTCGATTCCGGCCTCCCTGTGTGGAGTTTGCAAGTTCTCCCCGGGCCTGCGTGGGTTTTCTCCGGGTACTCCAGTTTCCGACCACATTCCAAAGACATGCGCCGTAGGTTAAGTGTTGACTCTAAATTGTCCCTCGGTGTGATGTGAGCACAGATGGTTGTTCATCTAAGTGTGCCCTGCGATTGGCTGGCAACCAGTCCAGGGTGTACCCCGCCTACTGCCCGAAGACAGCTGGGATGGGCTCCAGCACGCTCCGCGACCCTTGTGAGAAAAAAACGGATTCGAAAATAGATGGATGGAAGGATATGTTACACACATTTTACACTGATGGGAGTAGGAGGTGGGGCTTCATGTGCTGTGACTGAAGAGATTTTGATCCATTCTAAAGATTTACTCCCGCTCTACTGCCTGGGGAGGCAATTGTATTCCATCCATCCGTTCATCCATTATCAGAACCACTTATCCTCATGAACGGTCGCGGACGTGCTGTAGCGCATCCCAGTTGCCTTCATGTGGATCTCAGATTCAGGAGGAGCACTGTGGTTTTCGTCCTGGCCGTGGAGCAATGAACCATCTCGACATGCTTGGCAGGGTCCTTGAGGGTGCCCAACCAGGCTATATGTTTTTTTGTGGACTGGGAAAAAGCGTTCAACTGTTTCCTTGTGTGTGTGTGTGTGTGTGTGTGTGTGTGTGTGTGGCAATCCCTGTATCACCAATATCAGAGTTTGGTCTGCATTGCCGGCAGTAAATTGGATTAATTTCCAGTGAGGGTTTGACTCTGCTCAGGCTATGCCATTTTGTCGCTGATTCTGTTCATAACCTTTCTGGACAGAATTTCTAGGCACAACCGAGGCGTTGAGGGGTCCGGTGTGGTGGCCTCAGTGTTGCATCTGAGCTTTTCTCCAACTCTGATTGGAGCGGTTCACGGCCGAGTTTGTAGCACTTGGAATTAAAATCAGCACCTCCAAATCTGAGACCATGGTGCTCTGTCGGAAAACTGTGGAGTGCCCTCTCAGGGATGAGATCTTGCTCCATTCGGAGGAGTTTAAGTCTCTTGGGATCTTGTTCACGAGTGAGGGCAGGATGAAGCAGGCGAATGGGCACAGCATCTACTATGATGTGGACACTGTAATTCTCTTGTCATGGTCAAGGAGGAGCTGATCCGAAAGGTGAAGCTCTTGATTTACCGGTCAGTCTCTGTTCCTACTCTCACCTATCGTCACGAGCTGTGGGTTGTGACCAAAAGAACGAAATCCCGGATAGAAGTGTCCAAAATGAATTTCCTCCACAGGGTGTCCGGGCTCTCCCTTTGAGATAAGGTGATAAGCTCGGTCATCTGGGAGGAGTCAAGCCGCTGCTCCTCCATGTCGATAGGGTCCAGTTGGGGTGGTACAGGCATCTGATTAGGATGCCTTGTTGACGCTTCCCTGGTGAGGTGATCATCTGGGCATATTGCACCATCAGGAGCCCCAGGGAATTACCCAGAACACGCTGGAGAGTCTCTCTGCCAGCCTGGGAACACCTTTAATAACGAATTTAATAACAACTATTAAACTGTTTTTCCTCTTTGTATCTCTTTTTTCCAGGTTCCTCGTAGTTATTGCTTGCCTGATTCTCAGCATTCTGTCAACCATGCCCATCTATCACCTCTTTTCCTTCTCGGTTCTCTTCTGGGTGGTAAGTGTTTATTTTGATTGTCAAATTGAGACTCTCCGAGTGAATCAAATGGTAGTGATTCAACACTTCAACCGCGAGGAAGTTGTTCAGATAAATAATACAATGTTAATGTGAAGTTTCAAACCACAAATCAAACTGTCTGTATCGATTTTCTTTCTTTCTATTTACTATATGAGCTGCACAATAATATTTGAGCGAGAAGCACAGATTCGGATCCTGATCAATGTTTCATGAAGCAGTTGTGCAAGATAATGCATATTGATTATATTAAAAAAATATTCGAGAAGCGGAACTCCTAGCCCCCCCACCCCACCCCACCCGCAAAACCGTACTTCTTTTTCCATTGCCCACAGTCTGCAGCCATTTCTCTCTCTCACGCTCATCACTTTTGGACTGATTTTATACACTCAGATGCTTGATTAAAATGTTGTAAAAAGTAATTTGGTGTCAGTTTTGGTTTCATTCCTAAATCACCAATCATGTAAATAATTACATTTAGGCAAAGGAACAGTCTCACAGATTTTTTTTTTTTTTTTTTTTTTTTAATTTCTGACAGACAAATTGCATCAACCGCAATCTGTTCGTCAAAACAGGTAGACCGGTTTGTTGACTGAGATTGTATTTGACGATATATTAATAAGAGGACACAAACGAATTCAAGCAATAGATTAAGCCGTTGATCTATGTTTGCACCATCACCTGTGGTCACAAGCTGTCTGTCATGCCCAAAAGAATAAGATCCCATATACAAGTGACCGGAATGAGTTTCCTCCGCTGGGTGTCTGGGCTCTTCCTTAGAGATAAGGTGAGGAGCTCGGTCATCCGGGATGTGCTCAGAGTATTTGGGAGGAGCCAGATGAGGTGGCTTGGGCCTCCTGGATGCATCCCCTGTGAGGTTTTCTTTGCACGTCCCACCAAGAGGAGGCACCGGGAAAGACCCAGAATATGCTGCAGACACTATTGTCTCTCAGATGGCCGGGGAACACCTTGAGATTTCCTCTGAAGAGTTGGATAAAGTGGCTTTGGAGAGGGAAGCCCGCGATCCAGCTCCAGATAAGCGGAAGTAAATGGATGAAATGCAAAGTACTTGAACATAGCTGGAGTCTTATTCCTAAATGTAAGCACACTTATGTCAAAGCAACTTTCTTTGGTCTTCTTCTTGAAACACCTTGCTTCGAGGAGGTCCTTCTTTCAATAAAATATCCCCCGCCAAAAACCACAAAAAGTTCATATTTTGATTACGCCTTCTAAGTTCACCCAGGCCTGAGCATAACAACACTTAGATATTGCCATATTATGAGTAACAGATCTTGAGTTTATATAACCCCCGCAACAATGCCAAAAAGATGCATGCTATCATCATCATAAGAAAACTGTATGACCTTTGAATGCAAATTACTTTGGCAGAATGGCAGCGTGGGCTGATGAATGAGGGTTGGGAATCGCATCATAAAAGTGGTTACGTTTGAAGCATGAAGTGAGAAAATCTAACAAGCATAACAGGAAATGAACTGTCTAGAAACTTGAACATGGCACTCTCAGGGATGCTAAAGTTTCTAAAAGTTAGGCCAAGTTCAAGCATACATTAGTTGGACTTTTCTAATGTATTGTTTTTTTTAAAACCGTAAATATAAGTAACTTTGCCCCTACAATATGCCTAAATTTTTTTATCATCTGTCAGTGCAACCAAAATAGTTCTAATGCCCGATGCATGAACCAAAGTAACTTTCACAGCCTTCATGGTGGCTTCGTTCTCTTAGATCTGAAAGGTAAATGTTTTATTCAAAAGAGGATAATGTAATAATATGACACATCCAGCATTTATTACATGGCATTATGTCAGAAAGCACATAATTTGGAATTTAAACAATGAAATCCGCACTTATTTTTCACTTAAATTCACCGTCAATCATAGTTGCTCAAAAATGACTTACCTAGTTCCCAAGAGTGGGTTTCTCTTTTCTTTTCAATGTACAATTCTGTGGAGTGTGGAATGCACTGGTCCAAGTAGCAAATATTGATCAGTACACGGGCAGCGCACAGGAGGGTATTGGCACCAGGGGAACCAAACACCAACCACTGGTTGACGGGGCAATTGCCCAAGACCGTAAAACCAGAAGCATGAACCTGTGCACTGGCTGGATCGATGACAAGAAGGCCTGCAACTCAAAGCCCCACCCATGGATACTGGAGTGTCTGGAACGTTATACCATCAACAATATCCTTAAAAAAACATTCATCAAGAACTCAATGAGCCTGTGAAATACAACTGTGAAGGCCAACTGAAAGTCAGTTGCACAGACAAATATCAAATGTGGCATATTCCAAGGCTGCTTTTTCTGCATAGGCCGAACCCGCTCAGTCAGATCATAACCGGTTCACTTTCTGCACAACATGCTGTTCTCTATCATGGAATTGTATAACAAAATTCACCAAAAAACTAAATTCAAAGTCCCAATTTTATTAGAATTGGGGTATGTGGTTAAGTGTTGCTGTATATGAATGAAAAGTAACTCTTGAAATTACTTTTTAATTATGTGCTTGCATGGACACGTTTTAAAAGTATTCATTCATTCACCCATACAGGGGCATTGAATATAGAGAGGTCTAAATGACAACGAGTCCGATCATGTTGTCCATGTTGCCGTTCAACATTGCCTGTACTTTCTCCCTTCCCAGGAGATTTCCCTTGTGGTCTTTTTAGGTTTGGAATATATTTTCCGGCTTTGGTCAGCAGGTTGTCGCAGTATGTATGTTGGCTTCTGTGGACGACTGCGATTTGCAAGGAAGCCAATAATTATCATCGGTATGAACTCGCACACACAAACGCACACGCAGACTCAAACGGCAAATAAATGTGCCACAACAAAACCAAGCAAATACAAATTCAGTGCAATTACTACATTTTCTCTCTCAAAAGCCAGTTGTGACTGCATTAGTCATTAATTGGATTAATTAACACGTAAACAAATGACGTAATTTAATGTCTGTATGTGGTCTTTGATTTCTTGTTTTATTTTAAAATGGTTTGTTAATTTGCCATGTGATGTTGTTAAATTTTCAATATCTTATTTTTTGTCTAATCAGGCCAAATACCGACTGTTGTCCAGTATACTTTTTTTTTGTACATTTGTACACCAATGGCGCATTTTTTTTTCAAGCCTTTCATTCTCGATTCTCTGCACAGATCTCATTGTTGTGGTTTCCTCAATCATCGTGTTAGCGGTTGGCTCCGAAGGACAGGTGTTTGCAACCTCTGCTGTGAGGTAAGACTGCATGCAAAGTCAAATTACAAGAGGGGTAAAAAAATAGGACATGTGTTTTTGACCCAACTGTAGATTTGGAGCTGTTTTTATCATTTGGAAACTTGGAAGTTTTGCCAATTATTGGAATTTGATTTGATTGAAATTGTCCGAGAGCAGGGGTAGGGAACTCCAGTTCCTTGAGAGCTATTTCCTGCCTGTTTTAGAGCTCTCTGTACTTCAAAACACCTGATTCAAATGATCAGCAAGCTCTGGAGAAACCTGAATCGATCATGATCAATTGAATCAGGTGTGTTGGACTAAGGAGAGATCTAAAACATGTCTCTGTAGGAACTGGAGTTCCCTACCCCTGTTTTCGAGGAATGCACTGCGGCCACCTGTTTCTGTTGTAAACAGAGACAGAATTTTTTTTTATTCTCAATGTAGCGCTGTATTTCACATTAAAAGTAACTTTGTTCGATTACATTTTTTTTTTTTTTTTTTACATTCGGTAGTCATTCACAGTACTGCCTCGACATAAAAATGAGAACCGGTCTTGCCAATATTTTATTTGTATTTTTAACACTAATCTTCACTAAGGAGGTTTCATGAACAATAAAGACAGTCTTTCTTGAGTTAAATACTTGTTTTTATAAATTAAAACAAAAAAGATAATGGTGTCATCTCTCTTGATGTCACATGCACACTACTTGTTTTTATGAAAAATGGTCTTTCAAAACTTCATTAAACATACAGCAAATACTTTTGTTTTTTATACAATATACAATGAAGTCTTTTTTGACCTGAAAATATTGTATTGTAAGCACATTGTGTGCGTGTGCGTGTGTGTGTGTGTGTGTGTGTGTGTGTGTATGTGTATATATATATATATATGTGTGTGTATAAATGAAATGTAAATAGAACATAGTTTGGGGGCTGGAGCGGACCAAGTGTATGACTGGCATTCATTTCAATGGGAAAACATAACTCAGTTTACAAACGTTTCGAGGGATCATGGAGAGAATTAAGTTTGTCACTTGAGCTACCACTGAAACAAAAGAAGGAAAACTCAACCCATGTGCGCAGTTCGACCACACTTTGTGACTTGCGCTGGGCATGAAAATAGAGCCCAAAGCATTAAATTTTAGAATATGGCTTACCAGCAGCCAGCGCCCAAGAGAGTGAAAATTCATACAATACACTCCTGCATACTTGTGGTGCGCCACAAATGAATTTGCATAATTGCATAGTTTTTTTCAATATTTCATTAATTTTTTAAAATATATTTTTGGGAGTTTCTAGTGATTCGCCCACCTGTTCTTTTGTTGTTTGAAGAATTACTGGGTACTGTTGTACTCTTTTTCTTGCAACGCATTTTAATGGATTTCAATTGCGGATTTTCGCTATTCGTGGGCCAGCCCGGACCCTACACTGATGAATAGCGGGATCAACTGTTACTTCAACAGCATTTTCATCAATATTTCTATGTTTTTAATCCTGTACAGTATTATGTGCTGAAACAAATTATCCTGTTCGACCAAAAAAAAAATAAAATAAAAATCCGCGATGTAGCAGGGCTGTGTTCGGAGAATCATGTTATAGCGGGGAAATCTGTACTGCACATCATATGTGTGTCATCCAGTCTTGTATAAAGAACCTGAAAGTGAAACTTGAGTTTGAGTACAAGTATCATTGCAGAAAGTTGAATAGTTGAAGAATATTGCTTGGGTAAAAAAACTCAGAAATTTGCTGTATCAAAAGTAAGTGTTCAAAGCAAACTGTTGTCACCTTTTAAACATGCCATTACATGCTCATTCCAGGGGGATCCGTTTCCTGCAAATACTCCGTCTGCTCCATGTAGACCGCCAGGGAGGAACGTGGCGTCTCCTGGGGTCTGTTGTCTCTGCCCATCGCCAGGTACTTCATTCTTTTCCGAGTCCAAAACTCTCAGGGCCTTCTGATTTTCTTCCCTGAGTTTTAATCAACTGAGAGAGGTGACTATGATTACCTGCTCTTACCACTGCTCTTACGTTCACTTTTCCATGTCCATTTCTTTCTGCTGAGCGTGGAGCCTGCTGAGTGGTTAGTCCCAAATATGACAAAATTTCTCTCCACCAAGGCTAGCCACTCACCTGAGTTGGAAGAAAAGAAAGTATCCTGCCATTGCCACATGATTCCTTATTCTTGCTAGTACTCGAGACAACAATGACAACCGTCATGCTTTTACCGTTACATTTACTGTACTCACAGTAAATCCACCATGAAAGGCACACATTTCCAAATATGTAAAGTAAATATGACTGGCAACAAAAGTTTTTTTTCCCTTTTTCAGGATTGTCAAACTAGCCACCTATGCGGCAATAATTATGCACATGCATGGATACATAAAATGTATACACTCACGGCGGCACAGTCGACAACTAGTTAGCACATCCGCCTCATAGTGCAGAGGTCAAGGGTTTGAATATGGGCTCCAGTCTTCCCTGTGTGGAGTTGGCATGTCCTCCCCGTGCCTACGTGGGTTTCCTTCGGGTACGCCCGTTACCTCCCACTTATGAAAAACATGCATGGCAGGTTAATTGAAGACTCTCAGTTGTCCTTAGATGTGAATGTGAGTGTGAAAGTATGTTTGTCTCTGTGTGCCCTGCGATTGGCTGGCAACCGGTGGGGGGGGTCCCCCGCCTACTGCCCGAAGACGACTGGGATAGGCTCCAGCACCCCCCGCGACCCTTGTGAGGATGAAGCGGATCGGAAAATGGATGGATGGATGGATGATAAAAGTAAAATAAAAATACTGTTAGGTTACCTTCCTCACAGTGTCTAACAGATCATCATTACTTACTGAGACAGAATTGTGGAGATATTACTGACAATGTGTCACAGAAAAATCTGAGGGTACATCTCATGTTGCGACCATCCATTGTAAGTAATAAAGCACTCCTTGCATTTGATTTGAGCCATGCAGCACATTGAGCCATTAATTTTACTATTTAAGGCCACTTATAGCCTCGGGTAAAAATTAGGTACTGCATAGTCAGACTGACCTATATGTTAATGCAGAGCCATCATGCAAATTACATTGTTATAAAAGAGTGAGTGGCAAAATGTCAGACTAGATGTGACTAAGCCATACGCGTTTTGTGCCATTCCCAAAATGTCACACTCTTCTAGGAGAGTTATTATTTGGTTTAGTATCACACAGTTGCAATTCTCCAGCACACAATAGGTAATGGAAGTCTCAATGCATTTTATTATTTGGACATGCTGTATGGTATCCTCAATATGTGTTTCTTACAGAGGCTTTGTTTTCGCAGTGACGGTTAGTCGAAAACCCTGCTGTGGTAACATATGTGTGTTTCAAATTCAAATTCAGTTCAGTTTCATTTACTCTAATTACACTCCCATCTTAATTGTGTAACTTAATTTAAATACACACTAAATAGCATTGTCATGCAGCTGGCTTGTCAACACACTTTGCACTGCTGCTCTTCACTGGCTCAGGAGCAGATGGGCACTGCCTCTTTAATGTGGTTGCCAGTTCGACTAAACTTCTGGTAATGACTCCAGGAAGACATGCATGGATGCAATAAACGATATCTGAAGATATGCTGACAAGAATTTAACATCTACTACGTCCCAACTTAGTCAGATGAGTACTCTCAGTGTTTGCTCTCAATACAATACAATACATCCTGATTTATATCGCGCTTTCACAACAGCAGCAGCTGTAACAAAACGCTTAACAAAACAGTTAACATAAAGTAAAATAATAAACACAACACATAATTTAAAACACGGACAGCCGTGCAGTCCTAACCACTTTTCCCTCATATGCTTTGTTGTTTAAAGCACTTTGAGATGAAAGAGGAGAGTATCAAAGTGTCCTTTTACCAGTGGATCAGAGACGTCATGCTCAAAATGTGCACACGTCGGCTACAAGCTAAGTTTCAAAGTCAACAAGAAGCTGTAGCATCCATTGACTCTCATTTTAAAGAACAAAGTAGATCAACCCAAAGAGATTTTTTTTTTTTTTTGCCTAAAGGGCAATCAGACTCTTAAGACAAACTTTAAAACACAAGAGAGACTAGGAGTCAAGCACAGTTGTGTTTTACTTGTGCACAAGGGGAGTGAACGAGTGAAATCCATTACATTCTCCGAACATCTCTCACGTCGCTCGTCCCGCCCCTTTTATTGTCTTAGGGAGTGTCCTAATACACACATTTCTAAAGGGTGGGGAAATACACAATGTATTCCAAGGTAATTGGAGGAGTCATGCTGACGGTTGGTTTGTGATAGCAGCTGCGGATGTGTCACCAGTGCATCCACAGCTGCTATCTTCTCTTCAAGACTGCGAACAGGAACAAGCCGTCTCTTCAGAATGATAAACTACTTTGATTGATTGCACGCTATGTACATACATTAAGTCCTTGTCATAACAGGAAGTTGATTATACATCTCAAAGAAGAGAGCGATAAATTTTATACAATTACTCTTACACACTGAAAGCAGGAGGACCCAATCCCTGTTGGACCTATTCAGCCAATTAGACAAAACTCTGCAAAACATTAACTTTTGATTATAAAGGTCTCCACTCTGGTTGTTTTTTTTTTTTTGACGTTTATCTGTAACTTCTTCCATTTTTGCTCATGTACACTGAAAAGGCCATCATGTGTGAATTAAGCTATTATTTTTGGAAGGAATCGCCAAAATTGTCACAAAGTCAGTGTCTTGTTGTCCACCAAATGTCATCAAAGCACTTGATTATAGTTCTTTGTAGTTATATTGTATTGTTAGAAAAAATTTACCTGATGAACATCAAAGCTACTCCACTGGGTGCCAGCTTCCTTTCTTTGACAATGAATAAGTCAATGCCCCACACATCTGTTAAATACTTCATAGCACACTGCCGTGTATTATGTGTTGCATAATGCACTCAACATCACTGAAACATCCTGCCTCCCCTCATGTTGATAAAAGATTGGGTAGCATTTGGGCAAATGAAGTGTTTCATACCCAGACTTCTGTCTTGTCTTGAAAGGAAGTGAAAATGACTTTTTTCAAATTCAGATTCAATAAACAAACAATATAACAACTGTACACTTATTAGTACATAGCAAAGGAGATAGCACTGAATAGAGTATTGTTTTTGTTTTTTTTTTTCCTCGAAATAATCCTTGCTTTTTATGTGAATGTGTATTTCAGGAGCTAATCACAACACTGTATATTGGCTTTCTGTGCCTCATCTTCGCCTCATATTTGATCTACCTGGCAGAAAGGGAAACCACAGGCATGCTTGAAACATACGCTGATGCCCTGTGGTGGGGAGTGGTAAGAATATGTTTGAGGTTGTTATATAGGAGTTGGAGTTCAGCTAATATTTTAGTTTATCAAATTGTGCATTTTAGTTTCTCAAATTGTGCAAACGGCATGCTGGAGACATGTGTGCTAAGGTTTCAAAATAGCTTTAAAATTTTGAAATGTATATTCTAAATATATTTAAGATTTGCTTAGTTGGCGGAACTTGTATACCAAACTGAGAACATGAACTGTTTAATATGGAAAGTTTAATTTTCAGTTTGTAAAAGTGTTATGTGTTTGTACAAGGTAACAGTGACAACGGTTGGCTATGGAGACGTCATACCTCTGACGTGGCTTGGGAAGATCATTGCATCTTGTTTTTCTGTCTTTGCCATATGCTTCTTTGCACTCCCTGCAGTAAGTGGAAGCAGACAATGCAACACTCGGCTCAAATAATATAATCACGAGTGCCTTTGGTTGTCTGTCATTGCTATTTCTTGTTTAATTTATGTTTATATTTATATATTTATGTCTTCGTCTTTTTTATGCAGCTCAGTTTCACTGCCCTTATTTTTAGCTGTGTGTGTTTTCAATGCACTGCATGTTTGCGCTGTGGTTGACAGGAAATAAATATCATCTGTGCTGTTTGTTGTACATAGAGCATATTTGACAATAAAGCTGACTTGACTTGACTGAAATGCACCCTCTGTAGGTACAGGGTTCATTCTGTTCATTCTGTCTTTGAAAAATGCTTATATCGAAGTAAATTGTAAATTATCGTGATCAATTTTTGTGATGATCAAATTATTTTTTGAATGCACATTTTTGGTCGTGACGGAACTATTTTTGGTAATGCGGCAGCCCACCAGTGTATTGTTGGGTCTTAACGAGCTTTGATTTTCTTCACAGGGAATATTAGGCTCAGGCTTTGCACTCGAGGTGCAGCAGAAGCAAAGACGGAAACATTTTAACAGACAAATCCCTGCTGCTGCTCGTGTCATCCAGGTAGTCAACCGTAAAATACGAAGCTAGTATCATTTGTTGTAACATGGTGTGACCGTGAATCTTCCTTGCACAACTAGTACTGTACATTAAATGGGTTCCAACAATCATATTTCTCACATTTGTCCTCCGCAGACATCATGGAGATGCTTTGCAATGGAAAACTGCAATTCGGCCACGTATAAGATGTTTTTGAGGAAGAGATCTAACGCTCTTAACTCTTCACTGTCGACTCCAATGCCGAAGAAATTGGTTGGTACATCTATTTTATAGATTCTCCTATAACATGGGTTCACATTTTTACCAGGCCTAAAAGATGTGAACAGATTAGTTTAGACTAGGGATGCTCCGATGGATCGGCCACTGATTGATCTGCCGATTTTATGGAAAAGTACGTAATCGCAGATCAAAGTCTTTTATGGTTGATCGATCACCATACATAGATAATTGTTCCTAATCAATATGTAGCTATTTATTGCAACTGAAAACAATTAATAACAATGTCATACTTAACTACAGAGAAATCTCCACCATAACTTTATTATTTGTGAAAAACATGAGTCAATTAGTAATACATCACATAGTTGTTTCTGTTTAAAGCTTCACTTTCACCCACAATGCTCAACGCCATGCAGAGTCATATGAGGAATTGACCTGTTGTATAAACAATGTAAGCATTAAACACGAACACACATATATGACAAGGATTAACGTCCTTATAACTTCATTATTGAAATGTAAATCACCACACAATGTGCTCTGTATTGTGTGGTGCTCAAAATGAATTCATCCATCAATCCATCCATTTTCTTTTCCAATTATCCTCACTGGAGTCGGTGGTGTCTATTACAAAAAGACCCCGAAATATGTTTTGTATTGATAACACAAGTTTTGGCATTGACAAAGAGTCATGAATGATGATGATGAATGATACCGTTGAGATTTGAGCAAGCTATGGCTGATTTTCAATCCAAATACATTGCCTTTGTCTTAGCTGGGATAATGGGAACATTGTCACCAGCAGTGGAATAGCATCTAGCTTCGCCCCGCTCAGCATTTGAAAACCTTCAATTGTCGTTTCACAAATTATGAAATGCGTTACCTTTGTCTTAGGTAGTCTTAGGTTATCACCATTGTGAATCACAATGGCTCAGGCTTGCTGTCTGGACTTGTACCAGACGTTCAAGTTTGGATGTTGTCGTATTCTCAACGGTCACTCTTGTAGTTTTTGTATTTATTCACATATTTACTGTGTTGCAGAGTGCTACGACATGACATGTCTGATTTCTTCTCCTTCAAGTCACATATGTTTTTACGTGGGTGCCTCCCAGTGTTCAGTGAAACATCCATTTCACTACTCCCTGAGCATTTGTTGCTTTTCTTACGGCCACATTGGCAGTGCTCAGGAAACAAACAGCCATCTCTCCATTAAGTTGTTCAGGAATGAGGGAAGGCAAGAGATCTGCACTCCACGGTCGTCAGTCAAAGCGAAGAAGGGAGCTCTAGATTTACTGCTCAATCTATGTTTCAACCCTGTGGTCATGAGCTGTGGGTCTTTATCGAAAGAACAAGATGGCAGACACACACGGCTGAAATTAGTTTTCTCTGCAAGGTGTCCACATTCTGCCTCAGAGATAATGTGTGAAGCGCCACTCAACCAGGAGGGGCCCAGAATAGAGCTGCTGCTCCTCCGCATTGAGAGGATCCAAATGAGGTGGCTCGGGCATCTTGTTAACGATGCCTCTTGGTGTGTTGCGGGCACATCGCACTGCGAGGAGGACCCAGTAATGATCATGAACATGCTGGAGAAACTGGACCAAGTGGGAGGGAAGTCTGCCTTGCTTAAGCGGCTGCTCCCGTGACCTGAGCCCAGATAAACAGAAGACGATGGATGGATGGGTGGCTGGTTGAGTGGGTCGTGGTGAGGTTCAAAGTAGTTTACTGTTTTTATATTTTAAAATGGAATCGTGTGAAAAATCACACACAAAACTGCTCCCAATCGCAGTTCCCACAAATGGATTTACTTTAAATTTCTGTGTGACTATAGTTTGAAATAATTCATCAAGGTGTGATCTTTGTCAAAACATGCCATCCATCCTTCCATTTTTCATAGTCCATGTCCACATTAGCATCGTGGGTGAGCTTGAATTCATTTAGTCAAAAAATGGACATATTTTGTCTGTTATTTGAACATTTGAAACAATCAAATGAACTATAGAATTCAATCGCATGTCCGCCACATTGAAGTGTGTCACCTGGGGTTGTGCATGCACATGTTGAATACTTTGCTATTTGCAGAGCAGTCATTTTGTTAGCCTGAGATGTTTGTGTTTCATTGACAGGAGAAGTGTAACGAGGACACTGCTTCAAATGGTCTCACAGTTCCAAACATGGTCTCTGTCTCTTCTTATGACAGTGACAGGAACAACTTTTTGAGTTCTGACGTGTGCAACGCTATGGACACCGGTAAGACCATCTACTTCTTGAATGTTTCCAGTCCAGTGTCAACAAACAACTGTTTTTTTATGATGAGTCGTCCATCTGAAGTACATATCCATCGGGGTGAAACCTGAACATTTAGTGTGAAAGTAAAGATGTATTTTTGGTTTGAGATGTTTTCTGATATGCGGGGATGAGACACATCCTTAACGTTACACATTTATGAGCACGTTGTAGCATTAAAACACGACCGGGTTGCACAGCTGAACCTATAATACTCTACTCAGGATGTACTGTAATGAAGCAGCAATCATGAAGAAGTGGTGATAAGCAGAAACCTGAATTACATTCTTTCAGTGTCAGCTGAGCGAGTGAAGTGTGCACTCTGAACGAAACAATCGTGTCTGCTTATGTTCCCGAGAAGGACAAAAATCATTATTTTCTAAATCTTGCATTGGTAATCTGCTACTCATGTCTTCTTATTCTTTTTTATGAGAGGGTTTTATGATTAGATGGAGAAATAATGTGTTTCAATACCCATGCAGCAAGAGAGTAAATCGATAACAAGAAAATCATTAAACCTAATTTTGTCATTCCTACATGATTTACCTTCCTTTAAAAGAGCACTCATAAGCCTGTAGCTTAGTCAAACCTTAATTCCCTCAAAATGAATTCATCCATCAATCCATCCATTTCCTTTTCCAGTTATCCTCACTGGGGTCGCTGGTGAGCTGGAGTCTATCATAGCTGTCTTTGGGCACGGTCCGTTCTGAACTAGTCATACTGAAATAATCATATTTAGAGCTTCAATGAACCCAGCATACATGTTTTTGCAATATATAGCCGGAGAAAACCAATTCAAGCTTGCAGAGAACAAATTGCACAGAGGAAGGCTGAAGATGAATTAGACCTTCCAACGTCAGAACTGTGTGGCGGATCAGATTGGGCTTTTCACCCTTATTTCTTCATGTCATGTCGAATGTTTTCATTACAGAGTGTAATTTTTTTTCTGAACGTTTTCATTTATGTGTGCATCTTTCATACATCTTGAAATGCTGTGCATAAAAAAAATGACAATCAATGCCTAAGACCATGAATGGATGCTGTTTCAAAGAGGAAAAGACATACAATATCAGAAGGGAATAATACATTTTGAATAGTCTCTGATCTCTCTGAGTACAATACATACAACACAAAGCTGGAAAGCTTTTATTGCTCAACAAGTCCAAGCTTACCGTTTGCCACCAGTACACATAATACAGCACAGCGGCTCATTGTGCATTCATCATTGTGTTGTAGAACCAGCTATTTCCATACACTGGCCATGTATAAGGAACAGTGCTCGTGCACTTTCGGCGACACAGTGAAGGAGTGGTTTGCACAGCCACCTCACAAGTCTGAGGTTGAGGATTCAAATCCGGGCTCCAGGCTCCCTGTGTGGAGCTTGCATGTGCTTTCCATGCTTGTGTGGGTTTTCTGCGGGTACTCTGGCTTCCTCCTACATTCCAAAAAACATGCATATTAGGGTCACTAGAGACTAAATTGCCAGGAGGTGTCAACGTGGGTGTGAATGATTGTTTCTTTTTATGTGCCCTGCGATTAGTTGGCAACAATCTAGGGTTTACCCCACCTCTCGCCCAAAGGCACCCGCAACCCTAATGTGGATAAGCAGAATGGACAATCCATTTGATCTGGCACTTGCTGGTAAAATTAAAAGTGCACCGCTGCGGACAGTAGAAAATTAATGGCAGTTAGGTGCCTGCCTCAGGAGGTGTGGCACTACACCACAACACTATGACTTTTCTCTTTGCTTTTGATTTATAATTTAAACAAATGAAAAAGATACTTTACCTATTATATTCAAGAGCCCACTATGTGACATGGATGACATTATTTGTACATGACAAAAAGCTTCGCTGCTCTAGAAATCAATTGAATTATGGTATTAATGGGTATTTTATATATCTTTCCATGGTAAGATCCCCCAGTGAGAAGTTCCCTTTTTAACTGATGGATGTGATAACTGACAAACTGTTCAAAAATTTAAACATCACTGAAAATGGGGTTGAAACAAAGCACATTTTTGGGTGGGGGGCATCTTTCATCATTTTGTGGCTTTTTGCTCCTTACTTGGCTTCTGTCATTTTGGTTGATTCATTTCTTTTTCTCCTTCATATTTGTCTCCATGCTTTAGTTTACTTTGTGTCCACATCCTGCACATGTCCCCACTTCACTTCTCGTCACTTTTATTGTTAACGATCACTTTGCCACCACGATTACCACATTTCAGGACATAACTGTTGCTGCATGTTCCTTAAACACATTCTTGTCACATTCACATTGTTGCCACCATCATTTGAACAAGTATTAATTATTGTTTTTATTTTTTCAAGATTTGAAACTGAAATAGAAGGAAGGAATATGTAGTACTGCTTTAGGATTTATCTTTTCTTTACATTTTCAAATGCTATTTCATTTGTCACTTAGACACAGAGCTTGTCACACCATTCTCAGTTCAGTCATGCCTTCTTCTGATGTATTTTTTATTTATTATTTTTTTCACACGCATCCCACACATGCTTGCACAAACATCCATTTCACTCTCTCCCTGAGCATTTGTTGGGTTTCTTACGGCCACATTGGCAGTGCTCAGGAAACAAACAGCCATCTCTCCATCACCCAGTATCCCAATATATGCATTATTTTGCGAGTTTAGTGGCAAGTAGGTATTAAACCTGTGACCCACACTACACAAGACAAACCCTTCAGGCAGGTGGTAAATGAATTTATTGACTGGCATTCCAGTTCTTAGTTTCAGTATTCACATCAAAAGCGAAATACAAATCCCACAAAGGCTCCCTGCACTCGTTTTTGCGGCTGTATTATTTCTTTTACAGCAAAGGTAATAGGGGCTTCTTCTTTTTCCTGTTTAAAATTGCCACTCTGTTGTGCTGCAGGCATAGCAGTTGCAGTATTAACTCAATCTTGTCTCCTTGAAAAGACATCCGCTGTCCAAATTATAGTAGAGAACATACAGCCCCAGATGAAAGGAACCTGCTAATGTGGTACTTGCTCAAATTCCATGGAAACAGATTCGACAATTACAGATGACAGCACTATTTTCAGCCTTACAACATAAAACAATTAGTAAGCGCTATTATTATAATCGTCACCCCCATAGAGTTCTTTTTTTGTGACAATTCTCATTTGCCAATGCAATTAGAATAATGTACTTCTCAAAGAACAACTTTGATGTTCGTCATCATCTTATTTAATCCAAAAAAAATGGAACAAAAAGAGCTGTCTAATAGAATTCACTTTAAACCATTCCCATTCCGAAATGTTGAAAATGTTCACATATCACATATCACACCCTGAAGGCCTAACAATATGAATATTCTGATGCTAGATCAGCTATTGATTAGAAGATGAATATGAAAGTCCAGTTTACAATATGGTGCGCGCTGTATATTTCTAGAGAGGAGCCGTGGCCTTCTGGATGTTAACCCTCCCTCTGGCCTGAAGAGGAACTGCAGTTTTGAAGACAACCTTGAGCAGGAGTCGGAGCGAGACAGTGTACTGACCGCAGCTATCTCCATATCACAGTGAGTTTAGTCATAGTCACACTGCGGAAACGAGTGTTTTCAAGGCCTGCATTAGCTCTTCTATAAGGACGTAAACTTCAGAATAGAGGGTCATGGTTTGAGCCCCAATCCAGACAAATATTTTAAGATTGCACTTGAATCACCTGTGCACGGTGTTGCAATAAAGCAGATGTAACAGTTCATCAAAATGCACACAGCAATCACACGAACAAAATTATGTTTCGAAGTTTTAAGGTAGTGAGACACAGCTAGCCGCCAAGCCATACAGATACAGTTTATACAGTTTACAAATATGTTTTATAATACTTTATTACATACATATCATATGTACCTGTGGATGAAATCGTGAAAAATGCAGTCTCTTTTACCAAAATGCATGCGAGAGTTGTGCGTAGCTTGCTATGTGCGGGTCAGTGAATAGGAGGGAGGGAGCCTCTCAAATTGGCCATACTGATTGTCTCCCTAAAGGAAAGCAAACACCGCTAGGTAAGTTAGCTAGCTGTGAACATGGCAAAGCACAGATCCAGATCCAGACTCTGCGAAATTATTATTTTTTGTTCTGGCTTAATATCTACATTGCTTTGTATTCAATTCATAACATGTTTCAGCTATCTCTTACAATGAGAATTTTTAACCTGACGTGCAAAAAAATAAATAAAATGGGTGCAGTGCAACAAAATGGCTACCTCAATTGAAATGAATAAAACTCAAAATATTTGTACTAAAAAGCAAGAATGTGTTTATTTCACCGCATTCAATTCTTACATTTGGACTGACCCACTCAGTGTGAGTCAATGTCTCTGAGTTGCCATCGACTGGTGGCTCGACACAGTGCCAATACCGGCCCAGAGCCTGTGTGGGCCACCATGATGTTGGAATGTGCCGGAAAAGTATTTGGTGTTTAAAATTAACCTGTATGATGTAGTCATCCTAAGAGCACTGCTGTAAAATAACTGCCTATTAGGGAAAGTGGCACTTTTGTGAGGTGGCTGAAGCACTTGAACAATGAGAGCCTGAGTTTAATCAGAAGAAAAAAAACTGTTAAGTAACTGCACTATAATGTAGAGCTTACACTAATTGAAATAAATGAGGTCTACAGTTTTGACCCTTGGGACTTCCTTTCTAAATCGTGGAGTAATGATATCGAGCTAGAATTGCTTGCAGCAGTGTTGTTGGGAAATAGCATTGCTGTGCTGACTCCAATTTATGAAACTATCCATCCATCATTTTTTCTGTGCTGATCTAAATGCAGTAACAAGCAGCTGTCAGAGAGTGCCACGTAAAATTGAACGCTAAATTGAGCCAATTTCGACAACATTTGATGATAAAGTACCAACGTGTATACGTTTCTCTACCAAGGCTTATCAAATCCATCATCGGAATCAATTTTCGAAAATAAAGATTTTTTTTTTTCAGAATTGTTTTTTTTTTTTTTTTTGATTGTAATCCCTCATATGACTCCTAGATTACATTTGCCTTAATTTCACTTTGGTTTTGTAATTACCATGATTGTACAGAAACAAAAATGATCATGGAGTTCCGGATACAAGGAATTTATTTTGTGTTTTTCATTTAAATCCAATCTTACGGGAAATTACTTTCCAGATTCAACAGATCGTGCTATGGTGAAAACATTTTGCTCTGGGTTTTGCATGGTAGATTGCGCCCAGTTTAATGCCGTCTAATCGAAGGGAGAAGACCATTACTTCAGGGCTATTTTTTTTTCGTATGGTGGCATATTTAAAAAGTAAATAAATAAATGCATTGGGCTCTTTGAACAATCAGGGTTGGAATTCAACCCACTGGACGACCCACTCTACCAAGTGAACCACAGCCGCCCGCCCATATCGTAATCTGGTTTTAAGAATGTATATTGGACTTTTGTAGAATTAAATAAAAGTTTGGTGAGACATGTTTATCTCATACATGGCAATTTTCCGCGGATCCGCGGAAATCCGCCGTTTTCTTTCTTAAATTGATCATTTTTGTGAACCCAGCCGCTGGGGGGCAGTGCCCTCCCCTGGGGGTGCACTGTTCCCCAGTGCCGGTCCCAAGCCCGGCGAAATGGGGAGGGTTGCGTCAGGCATGGGATACGGCGGAAAACTTTTGCAAAGAACACCATGCGAGATGGCAGGA